GCGGTGGCGGTGGCGGTGACGGTGGTGGTGGCGGTGTTATTGGTAGTCGCAGTGCTGATAATGGTTGTAATAGTGGTAATAGTAGTAGCGATAGTAGGAGCAACAGCAATAGTAATAATACTAGTATTAGTCACAGTAACAGTAGTAAAAACAATAGTTGTAGCAGTAATAGTAATGATAATAGTATAAATAGTAGTAAGAGGAGCAACAGTAACATTAGAAGTAGCCGTAATTGTAGTAGTAGCAGCAGCAATAATAATAATAATAATAATAATAATAATAGTAATAATAACAACAGCAACAATAACAGCAACAATGACGACGACGACGACGACGACGATGATGATGATGATGATGATGATGATGATGATGATGATGATGATGATGATGATTATGATTATGAAAGTTTAACATTTTTACAAGCTAACAAATATGTACCTCCAAAATCACAGAACCAAAGCAATAACAATACTCTTCTACACAATGTATTATCCTGCCAGCAAACGTATTTTTTTTTTTTAAATATGCAGCGAATTAGAGTTTCTTCAAACAATTTTTTTTATGTTTCATAGTTAATTGATACCACATTCATTGTAGGCGAAGTCACTGTACAATGTAAAAAGTTTTCTTCATACCCACTATATCCAGTGTAGGATAAAAGCAGTGGTACATAATCCATATAATCCAGATGAAGAATAACAGCTAAATATTGAAATTCACTGCGATTGTATCTGCAATAATATTTGTTTCACTATCTCTTTAACATTATATATTATTTAAAATTTTGTTTAGAATTTTTGGATAGTATTAACTGATAAAATAAAAATAAAAATTAATAAAAATTAAATAACTAACAAAAAAGATTTTTACTTACATATTGATTTACACATTTCCATCCCTTTCATCTGTCTTATGTTTTGTACAAGGTAGTTCGCGACAGTGTTGTGCTACTTGGGCATAACTCGGTCTTGTAAGATCCTATAATGAAAAATATATATTACAAACTGAAATCCCACTTATATAAACACAAAATGTTCTATATAACACGATCTTAAAAATTTTATTTGGTTAATGGTGGTTATTAACTATAATCATTTTTTAAATAATTATGAAAGTTATATATATCAATGCTAAATTGCTAAATTCCTATATGCTATTAGTAAAAATAAAACAATATTTATGTTTCTAAATTATTTTAGTAAGATATTTTTACACTTTTTACATTAATTTTTCAATACTATTTGTCTAACTATAGTATTATATAATGAAGTATTACATATATTGTTATACAATTTATTTTGGAAGAAAAATGTACAAATTATATATAATATATAAACAGGAATATACTTACAACAGGGAAAGTAGAAGACACTCCCACTTGAGATTGGGAATTTTGTGAGGCAGTAGAGACATTACATTCACACCTAGATACTTGTTCAGAATCTTCCACTGTGTGTGCATTTGAAACAGCCTCGTCCACTCCGTTCACCATGTTCGAATCGTCAGTCTTTACAGATCTGTCAGCGGTGCATTTCAATAATAAAGGACTAAACCTGAACGTGCATAAGTATAATAGACATATATTCAATACATATTAAACAATTATGACTGTGCACCTTAAAGTACCATGCACAAATATAAAACAGCCACTATTATATACATTTCATCCACAAAAAAAAAAAAAATTTATCACTACATAGTTAAGGGAATGGGTCTTGCACAATTGCAAAACTTATTTAATGAACCATGTATACACATTATTTATTTACTTTCACTGACAATGAATCTATAGTCATTCATTGATAATGAACCATGCCTTTTATTATATTCATGTGCCAAATATTACATCTTAACTTTATATTAAAAATTAAGAATTTAATTGAAATGCATCTAAAAATAATTTGAAAATGAACAGTTAATAATTGTAATGTAATATAATATAATATATAATAAAGTATAATATAATATATTATGATAAAATGTGATCTAAGATAATATAACATAACATAATATTATAATAATGAATGATAATAACAGTATTAGCAATAGCAGTAGCAGCAATAGCAGTAATATTAGTAGTATTGACAGTGACAGTAACATTAGTAGTAGTAGTAGTACTAGTAGTAGTAATAGTTGGTGGTGATAGTGGTAGTGTTTGTGATTGTGGTAGTGGTGGTGGTGATAATCGAGGTAGTTATGGTAGTTGTAATAGTGTGGTAACGGTAGTGTAGCAGTAGTGATTGAGGAAGAGGCAGTGGTAGTGGTAGTGGTAGTGGTAGTGGTAGTGGTAGTGGTGGTAGTGGTGGTAGTGGTGGTAGTGGTGGTAGTGGTGGTAGTGGTGGTAGTGGTGGCGGTGACGGTGGTGGTGGAGGTGGAGGTGGAGGTGGAGGTGGAGGTGGAGGTGGAGGTGGAGGTGGAGGTGGAGGTGG